CGCGTATGTGCACCTCTCAACCAGTCCAGATGGAAACTAGGCTAGATTACATGGCAGCCGCTGCTTGGGTGAGACCCGTCCAATTTCAAGCGTATTCCCTCGATTGACCGATTACAAGTCCTCCTTACCGCCTATCAGGTGCGCATTTACCACAGGTCTGCTAAATAGGTGGCGCCATTACTATCAATCGCTTCCACCTTATCCGTCTCCTCGCCCTCCAAGCGATATGTTGGCCCGCGACGTTTTACACTTCGCTTCCTAATTGGTAGGGTCGAACGCCCTTTAGCCTGCTGGGCTGTGATAGGTACCACAACATGCGTGAGTAGCTTTCTCACGAGGGGACATGATTGACGTCGTGTACAGATAACGCGCTCTATACAACTTTGGTGACCTCGAACATTGACGACTGGCACCGCGACTCAGTCTCGACTCAGTACTCTGCACATACCGTCGCCTCGATTGCGCTCGGGTTTGGCGGAAAAAGGTCTGGGAGGGACCGAGGCGGAAAGTGAAGGCAGGAGTAGCAGGCTCCAACGGCCGTCACATCAAGAACAATAGCCGAAAATGGGACTGGAACGAAGTCGTGTGGAAGTGTGCATTTCCCCGCGAGTGTGCTACTTTTCATGGCATGGAGTCTGTTATTCAGTCGAGAACTCGACCGACTGAATCTGTCTAAACAGGACTGACCAGCATCACTCCAACCGTTCAATAACCCTAAATTTATTGTTGGTATCCGAAAGGATGCACGCCTGGACTGCATACGTTGTGGCATTCGCTGACATATAGGATACTTATCGATGCCTGTTCATCGTCACACCGTCTCTACGCGACGATTTACCTTGTTCTCTTGTATATTGGTGTATGTTGTATCGATTTGCCTGGAAAAGCCATCTGTCTTGACATGCTCTAAGGGGTCCATTGAATCTCATGAATTAAGATGCTTTTGGGTCCGAATCGTACGCAGGAAGGCCCCATTCCTCAGGTTGAAACTGCTCTAGGGAGGAAAGCATGGTCACGTCCAAGGACGAGTCGACGGCGAGTAGATTTGGATCCGGTACCCAAACGACTAAGGAAGGGTGAGAATACACGATATCGACGAAGGGTTCACTGACTTTGCATCCCAGCTGCTTTGCCACCCAAAACACCCGGGATTCCGTGTTCGAAGACCTGGAGGTTCATGAGAAGCAGTGAGCACAGATGATCCACTACATACCAAACCTTTGCTCCTCTCAAGCTTCTCTTGTTTGCTGATATCGTGCTCCTCCCTTCCAACATTTCTGCCAATCAACTCTGCTGCACAGAGAAAAATATCCGGAAATGGTTTTCCTCGTACAACCTTTTCGGTACTCCAAACAGCCTTTCCATGCTCCGAGTCATCACCACACATAATCTTGTCGCCGAATAACCGAAAGATTTCGACCTTTTCGGGATCGCACTTTTCGTGGTGGGTCTTTAGATCGAAATTACGTCTGATGGAACCAATTGCGATGGCCATGGGGATGCTGTGCATGTAACTGTCGGACGAGTTTGGCTGCACCGGGCATGAGACGGGTGAGTGGCCACTCAAGATCTTGGAGGCGTCGTCGCTCAGCGAGTAGTTGTCAATGCTGAGCTCGTATTCGATCCCAGAAAGGAGTTCCCACACAAGTTCTGCTCTGACACGTTCGGTTGGGAGGAACATCAGCCAAGTACTTTAGAAGAGAACAAGCTACCTGCGTTTGCCCATCACCTGGGACTTAATCTCCCATGTCATTTCACGTCCATAACGCGCCAGAATAGAATCTTTTCAGAGACTTAATACTTGATCGGAGGCCGTACTGGTTACTTCGGTGTAAACGCGCTCGCTGTCGCTAGACAATGATCAGAAGGCACTCGTGCAGATGAATTTAAGGTATATGAGTAGGCCATCCATATCAAAAAGAACATATTCGACAGGCTGTCTCGTGCTTGAAGCCATGTCGCCGGGTCAAAGGATGTCCTCACTACATGGTCGCTGACAGAACTCTGGAAATGTCTAACACTTCCTGGGTACTTGACTCAATCGGCATTCGGATAAGATGATCCCAACCCAGATCATACTCGAGACTGACATAGGATCTGATACTGACTGATTATATATGTAAGAGAGAGAGAATCAACACTCGAATACAGTTGGAATGATCTGGTAGAGCAAGACATGACTATGTAGAGTGTTCAGTGCATATACAGCAGAGGGAGAGGAGTCGTTGAAATCTACCACGAGAGGGACGAGATTGTTGTGAAATAATGGACTCCAGCAGCTCTTTTGAGTCCACAGTACAATGATGATCCGCACCCAAGACTTCAACGCGTAGTTCCATGGTCTCTTGAAGGAGCCTTGCAGCTTCGCTGAGTTGATTATTCCTGCATAATGTGATAGAGAGGCTGTATGAGGCATTGAGAGTTGTTGGATGGCGCGGACCGAGAGTCTCCAGCCGCAGAGCAAGGACGTCCTGCTCAATCTTTCCTGCCTCGTCCAACTGACCACGATCAAACAAGGTGACAGCAAGGTTAGCCATTGCCAAAATGGTATGTGGATGGCGCTGTCCAAGGATGTCGAGCCGCAGAGCGAGTACCTCTCGCATCATCTTCTCTGCTTCGTCCAACTGACCACGCTGGTTCAAGGTGTTGGCAAGGTTGCCTATTGCCGAAATGGTATCTGGATGGCGCTGTCCAAGGATGTCGAGCCGCAGAGCGAGTACCTCTCGCTGAATCTTCTCTGCTTCGTCCAACTGACCACGCTGGTTCAAGGTGTTGGCAAGGTTGCCCATTGCCGAAATGGTATCTGGATGGCGCTGTCCAAGGATGTCGAGCTGCAGAGCGAGTACCTCTCGCCTCACCTTCTCTGCTTCGTCGAACTGACCACGCTGGTTCAAGGTGACGGCAAGGTTGCCCATTGCCGAAATGGTATCTGGATGGCGCTGTCCAAGGATGTCGAGCCGCAGAGCGAGTACCTCTCGCTGAATCTTCTCTGTTTCGTCCAACTGACCACGATCAGACAAGGTGACGGCAAGGTTGCCCATTGCCGAAATGGTATCTGGATGGCGCTGTCCAAGGATGTCGAGCCGCAGAGCGAGTACCTCTCGCCTCATCTTCTCTGCTTCGTCCAACTGACCACGCTGGTTCAAGGTGACGGCAAGGTTGCCCATTGCCGAAATGGTATCCGGATGGCGCTTTCCAAGGATGTCGAGCTGCAGAGCGAGTACCTCTCGCATCATCTTCTCTGCTTCGTCCAACTGACCACGCTGGTTCAAGGTGACGGCAAGGTTGCCCATTGCCGAAATGGTATCCGGATGGCGCTTTCCAAGGATGTCGAGCTGCAGAGCGAGTACCTCTCGCATCATCTTCTCTGCTTCGTCCAACTGACCACGCTGGTTCAAGGTGTTGGCAAGGTTGCCCATTGCCGAAATGGTATCTGGATGGCGCTGTCCAAGGATGTCGAGCCGCAGAGCGAGTACCTCTCGCCTCATCTTCTCTGCTTCGTCCAACTGACCACGATCAGACAAGGTGACAGCAAGGTTGGCCATTGCCGAAATGGTATCCGGATGGCGCTTTCCAAGGATGTCGAGCTGCAGAGCGAGTACCTCTCGCATCATCTTCTCTGCTTCGTCCAACTGACCACGCTGGTTCAAGGTGTTGGCAAGGTTGGCCATTGCCGAAATGGTATCTGGATGGCGCTGTCCAAGGATGTCGAGCTGCAGAGCGAGTACCTCTCGCCTCATCTTCTCTGCTTCGTCCAACTGACCACGCTGGTTCAAGGTGACCGCAAGGTTGCCCATTGCCGAAATGGTATCTGGATGGCGCTGTCCAAGGATGTCGAGCTGCAGAGCGAGTACCTCTCGCTCATCTTCTCTGCTTCGTCCAACTGACCACGCTGGTTCAAGGTGGCCGCAAGGTTGCCCATTGCCGAAATGGTATCTGGATGGCGCTGTCCAAGGATGTCGAGCTGCAGAGCGAGTACCTCTCGCTGAATCTTCTCTGCTTCGTCCAACTGACCACGCTGGTTCAAGGTGGCCGCAAGGTTGCCCATTGCCGAAATGGTATCTGGATGGCGCTGTCCAAGGATGTCGAGCCGCAGAGCGAGTACCTCTCGCCTCATCTTCTCTGCTTCGTCCAACTGACCACGCTGGTTCAAGGTGTTGGCAAGGTTGGCCATTGCCGAAATGGTATTCGGATGGCGCTTTCCAAGGATGTCGAGCTGCAGAGCGAGTACCTCTCGCTCAATCTTCTCTGTTTCGTCCAACTGACCACGATCAGACAAGGTGACGGCAAGGTTGCCCATTGCCGAAATGGTATCTGGATGGCGCTTTCCAAGGATGTCGAGCTGCAGAGCGAGTACCTCTCGCTCAATCTTCTCTGTTTCGTCCAACTGACCACGATCAGACAAGGTGACGGCAAGGTTGCCCATTGCCGAAATGGTATCTGGATGGCGCTGTCCAAGGATGTCGAGCTGCAGAGCGAGTACCTCTCGCCTCATCTTCTCTGCTTCGTCCAACTGACCACGCTGGTTCAAGGTGACGGCAAGGTTGCCCATTGCCGAAATGGTATCCGGATGGCGCTGTCCAAGGATGTCGAGCCGCAGAGCGAGTACCTCTCGCCTCATCTTCTCTGCTTCGTCCAACTGACCACGCTGGTTCAAGGTGACGGCAAGGTTGGCCATTGCCGAAATGGTATCTGGATGGCGCTGTCCAAGGATGTCGAGCCGCAGAGCGAGTACCTCTCGCATCATCTTCTCTGCTTCGTCCAACTGACCACGCTGGTTCAAGATGTTGGCAAGGTTGCCCATTGCCGAAATGGTATCTGGATGGCGCTGTCCAAGGATGTCGAGCCGCAGAGCGAGTACCTCTCGCATCATCTTCTCTGCTTCGTCCAACTGACCACGCTGGTTCAAGGTGACAGCAAGGTTGGCCATTGCCGAAATGGTATCTGGATGGCGCTGTCCAAGGATGTCGAGCCGCAGAGCGAGTACCTCTCGCTCAATCTTTTCTGCTTCTTCCGACTGACCACACTTCTCTAACATGTCCCCAAGCTCGACCATCACCCATATTGAGCTTTTGTGCCGTTGACCGTGACACTGCTGGACTTTGGAGAGTGCACATTTTAGCAGTTCTTGGCAAGCCCTCCAGCCACCCAACGAGTGGTAAAGCTTGTGGAATGCCAATGCGTGTGCCACATCCTCCGATTGCACTGACCGAGGAATATTGCTAGCATGTGGAAGCAATTGCCAAAGCCGCCCATTGCTATCCTCCAACGGCCGGATTGCCCCCAGTACGAGTTGTGTCGCCGTGCGCGCATAGTGTCGATTATCTTCATCGTTAAGATAATCCTTGATGTACATCTGAAGGAGTGGATGCACAGTGTAGAATAACCCATCGTTCGAAGCATTGATAAATGACGCTTGAGATGCCGAGTCAATGATCTCCTGGAATGCGACCTCGTTCCACGCCGTGCCTAGAATCTCCTGGAGCGTTGAGATGAATGTTTTGTCAGACTCAGGGGGAGGAAAGTCATTCAAAACAGTGTATGTAGTAAAGCTGGACTCTATCGAGTGCTCAAACAATGAAATCGGGATGAGCGAATGGTGAAGAAATGCGCAAATCTTCAGGAAGTCTTGCGTCTTCGCCGGCAAATTGTGGAACGACAGGTCGAATGCGGTGTATGTCGACGATGTATACTCGTTGCCGAAATCTGGCTGCTTGCGCAGGAGTTCGTCTCGGTGCTTTCGAAACGTGTTCACATACGTTTCGAGTCGCCGTGTTTTGCGAATGTACACTCCTGCTTGAGTGATCGCGAGCGCCAGCATCCCCAACTCCTGAACGATCTCGATAGACTTGGTGTTGGATGTAGGCGAGGCATTGGCGAGTTTGTGAAGCAGATTGACCGCCTCGTTTTCCTCGAGATCACCAACAGCAACAGCGCCATCCGGAGCGTAGCTTATGCACTCGCTATTCCTCGTGGTGATCAAAATAAACCCGTGAATGGAAGCGGGAAGATATGGGCCAAGGTCGAGGTTTTGGGAGTCGGCATTGTCCACGAATAGTAACCAGCCTCTTTCTTTGCCGTCGAGGTAGGCAACTGCATCCTTCCACCCCATCGCTCTGTACTCCGGACCCAAGGAGCGAATAAATTGCTCCAAGTCTGCTTCAATTTGCGTCTGACTGGAGGCGTCGACAAAAATCACCCGAGTAAACCTAGTAAAGATGAGACAGTTCCAAGCATTTCTATCGTTCGTACCTGGCTTCGTTCTCTCCAATCCAGTTCGTTGCTAGTTGAGTCTTACCTGACCCTCCGATTCCATGTAATATACACCTTGGTTGACGTTGCACCTGACCACCCGGGAGCAACTTCTGCGTGATGAGGGACTGGACCGCCTCTCGCTTGATGTAGCTCCTTGATACGGATGGACGAGGTTTAGGCAGTATGTCCTCTGGAGGGGCACATTCCTCATTTGCTACAGCTATGCTTTGATCAGCTAAAGACAGCGGGGTAGACTGGTTACAAACTGCGAAGCTTGTCCTCTATTGCCCACTTCTCCTGCACTGCCAGGCTGGCATTGTCGACGTACCCCTTGAGGCGATGATAAACCGTTTTATAGTTTTCTTCATCTTTGGATGAAAATCGAACCATGTTGCGGTGATTCGCATGAAGCACGATCGGCGTCCCGTTGCGGTCACCGGAGATAGTGGCTGAGTGATATGGAACATTCTATTTTTCGTTTAGTATTGTATTCGTGATTGGGAATCCACTGACCAGGTCTCCACGATTCCCAATACCTGATGTCGCATACTCCGCATAAAAGAAGATGCTGTTGATCTTCTCACTCGCCGCAACGTACAGACTCTGAATGTTCTCGAGTTCAGCCGAATTGGATCGAAGATCCTTGATGATATTGTCGGTAGTCTCCATGTATACCGACGCCAAGAGGTTGATTCCTTCAAGAATGTTTGTATTTTCGAGGCCGGAGTGCGGGGTTCCAAAGAATAAGATTCCATGTGTGGATACGACCACGTCCCGAAGGCCACTCTTGGATGTCAAACTCTCATTATGGCAAATGACGAGAGCCTATGAAAGGGTCAGCACCTGGGTTTTGGTGGCTCCCGTATTACGAACCCATTTGAGAATGATGCCTCCTAGATCATGGGCAACGAAAATGATCGGACGCTAACCACTTGTTCAAAGGAGGCCAATCGGCAAGAATTGTTTCCCTTACTCGAGCGTCCTTGCGTACCCGTGAGAGTGCCTGGGCTAACTTCTCGGCATGTCGACGCATCGTCTGGGTTGATACACATTCTCGACTGCGAGTGTCGGCGTCGTATCCATAGAGAAGGACTCGAGCGTTGGGTATGTCGGTACGCAAGAGGTCACGTAGCCACAAGTCTCCGTCTTCTGTCGTCCATGTCTTCTCTCTATGTCCTTGCAGACCATGAATAGCGACGATACTGGCGGGGAAAGCTAGGTGAGCGGCGAGCACGTGTAATAGCTGGGGTACTTGCTCGACGACAGGGTCAGTTCCAGACTGGACTTCTAGGAATCCGAAATGATCCGTCTTTGATTCTGTCTTCGAAGCCGAAGGCCTGTTACTCTGGGAATCCAGAGGTGTGGATTGGGCGTCGTTGTGCGACAATGATTGGGAGAGACGTAGGGTGTCCAACGAGGACAAGCGAGCATCCGACATTGTTCACGATGGAGATGGTGAGGAGCAAGCAAGGCTCGTTATTTGCTCAGAGGCGTGGCGCTAAACAGCTGGTGAGACTGGCACAGAGACCCCAATGAGCCAGCGGTGAAGATAGTCAAAAATGGCAACAATGTGAGCTAATGTCTCCACAATGACATTACATTTCAAAACAGCAGATCATTGATTTCCTCGAGTAAATAAGAGTGGTATAGTATCCTGAGGATGTCTTTACTTTGGAGGTCTGCTTCTTCCGAGACCATGGGCTATACTGAGACACCTGAGTCCTTGTGGACGCAATGACGTGAGAATGGCATGTTTTATGAATTTGAACTAACAAGGCACATCCAATAGGCCGTCTAGTGGTCGAGGACACGGTCGAGTCCAATTCTTGACCACCACATTCACTCGGAAGGAAAAATGTCCGACACGGAAATGCAAATGTAAAGCTTTAATGGTTAGTGTTTTTGGAGTAACTAAGACCATTGTAGGGACACGACGGAGGAACATCGTGAGGTCGAACACGAGGAGAGCATTGAGCAGTCGATGGATCCAGCAAAGATTCTACCAACACGCATCCATCCCAACATGCCAAACGTCGATTACACGTCTCGAGGCGATTGCCCGTGCAGGACATCCTGCGACCGAGGTAAAGACGCTCATAAGACTTGAATATCTCCTCTACAGCGTGCATCTTTGCATCATTCACGGTCAAAAACACACAGCAACAATGCCAAACCGCCGTCAGTCAATGGCCACAAAACTTTGCCGCTAGACAATCATGCCATTGTCGTCGGAATCAGCGGTAGTTCGATCAACTGGAGCGTAAATTTCGAACAACTCATGCCGTTGATGTTCCAATGTCTCCGCACGCTTGCTATGATCCCTGCAGGTGTCGAGACGCTGCACCTTCTCGCGCGTATGTGCACCTCTCAATCGAGTCCAGATGGAAATACTAGGTTGGACTATATGGCAGCCGCTGCTTGGGTGAGACCCGTCCACATTTCAAGCGTATTCCCTCGATTGACCCGTTATAGTCCCTCCTAACCGCCTATCAGGTGCTTGCATTTACCACAGGCCTGCTAAATAGGTAGCGCCATTACTATCCAATCGCTTCTATTCTTATCCGTCTCCTCGCCCTCCAAGCGATATGTTGGCCCGCGACGTTTTACACCCTTCGCTTCCTTCAGTACGACGGGGTCGAACGCCCTTTAGCCTGCTGGGCTGTGATAGGTACCACAACATGCGTGAGTAGTTTTCTCACAAACAAGGGACATGATTGACGTCGTGTACAAATAACGCGCTCTATACAACTTTGGGTGACCTCGAACATTGACGACTGGCACCGCGACTCGGTCTCGACTCAGTACTCTGCACATACCGTCGCCTCGATTGCGCTCGGGTTTGGCGAAAAAAAGGTCCTGGGAGGGACCGAGGCGGAAAGTGAAGGCAGGAGTGGCAAGCGCTCCAACGGCCGTCACATCAAGAACAATAGCCGAAAATGGGACTGGAACGAAGTCGTGTGGAAGTGTGCATTCCCCGCGGGGGTGTGCTACTTTTTCATGGCATGGAGTCTGTTATTCAGTCGAGAACTCGACCGACTGAATCTGTCTAAACGGGACTGACCAGCATCTCACTCCAACTGCGTTCAATAACCCCTAAGTTATTGTTGGTATCCGAAGAGGATGCAAGCGCCTGGACTGCATACGTTGTGGCATTCGCTGACATATAGGATACTTATCGATGCCTGTTCATCGTCACACCGTCTCTACGCGACGATTTACTCTGTTCTCTTGTATATTGGTGTATGTTGTATCGATTTGCCTGGAAAAGCCATCTGTCTTGACATGCTCTAAGGGGTCCATTGAATCTCATGAATTAAGATGCTTTTGGGTCCGAATCGTACGCAGGAAGGCCCCATTCCTCAGGTCGAAACTGCTCTAGGGAGGAAAGCTTGGTCACGTCCAAGGACGAGTCGACGGCGAGTAGATTTGGATCTGGTACCCAAACGACTAAGGAAGGGTGAGAATACACGATATCGACGAAGGGTTCACTGACCTTGCATCCCAGCTGCTTTGCCAGCCAAAACACCCGGGATTCCGTCTTCGAAGACCTGGAGGTTCATGAGAAGCAGTGAGCACAGATGATCGACTACATACCAAACCTTTGCTCCTCTCAAGCTTCTCTTGTTCGCTGATATCGTGCTCCTCCCTTCCAACATTTCTGCCAATCAACTCTGCTGCACAGAGAAAAATATCCGGAAATGGTTTGCCTCGTACAACCTTTTCGGTACCCCAAACAGCCTTTCCATGCTCCGAGTCATCACCACACATAATCTTGTCGCCGAATAACCGAAAGATTTCGACCTTTTCGGGATCGCACTTTTCATGGTGGGTCTTTAGATCAAAATTACGTCTGACGGAACCAGTTGCGATGGCCATGGGGATATTGTGCTTGTGTAAGTGCCGGACGAGTTTGGCTGCACCTGGCATGAGACGGGTGAGTGGCCACTCAAGATCTTGGAGGCGTCGTCGCTCAGCGAGGTAGTCGTCGATACTGAGCTCGTTTTCGATTCCAGAAAGAAGTCCCCACATAAGTTCTGCTCCGACACGTTCGGCTGGGAGGGAACATCAGTCAAGTGCTTTAGAAGAGAAAAAGCTACCTGCGTTTGCCCATCACCTGGGACTTAATCTCCCATGTCATTTCACGCCCATAACGCGCCAGAATAGAATCTTTTCACAGACTTAGTACTTGATCGGAGCAAACCAAGGGCCTTACTGGTTACTTCGGTGTAAACGCGCTCGCTGTCGCTAGACAATGATCAGAAGGCACTCGTGCAGATGAATTTAGGGTACATGAGTAGGCCATCCATATCAAAAAGAACATATTCAACAGGCTGTCTCGTGCTTGAAGCCATGTCGCCAGGTCAAAGGATGTCCTCACTACATGTTCGCCGACAGAACTCTGGAAATGTCTAACACTTCCTGGGTACTAGACTCAATCGGCACTCGGATAAGATGATCCCAACCCAGATGATACCCAAGACTGACATAGGACCTGATGCTGACTGATTGTATATGTAAGAGAGAGAGAATCAACACTCGAATACAGTTGGAATAATCTGGTAGGGCAAGACATAACTATGTAGAGTGCTCGGTTCATATACAGCAGGCAGACAGGAGTCGTTAGAATATATGACAAGATTGACGAGATTCTTGTAAAGCAATGGCCTCCAGGAGCCTTTGTGAGCTCACAGTACAACGATGTTCCCTACCCAAGACTTCAACGCGTAGTTCCATGGTCTCCTGCAGAAGCCTTGCGGCATTGTTGAGTTGATTATTCTTGTATAATGTCGTAGAGAGGTTGTATGAGGCATTGAGAGTTGTTGGATGGCGCGGACCAAGAGTCTCCAGCAGCAGAGCGAGGACCTCTTGCTCAATCCTTCCTGCTTTGTCCAACTGACCACGCTCGTTCAAGGTGACAGCAAGGTTGGTCATTGCTGAAATGGTATCTGGATGGCGCTGCCCAAGGATGTCGAGCCGCAGAGCGACTACCTCTCGATGAATCTTTTCTGCTTCGTCCAACTGACCACGCTCGTTCAAGGTGTTAGCAAGGTTTCCCATTGCCGAAATGGTATGTGGATGGCGCTGTCCAAGGATGTCAAGCTGCAGAGCGAGTACCTCTCGCTCAATCTTTTCTGCCTTGTCCAACTGACCACGCTGGTTCAAGGTGACAGCAAGGTTGGCCATTGCCGAAATAGTATCTGGATGGCGCTGTCCAAGGATGTCAAGCCGCAGAGCGAGTACCTCTCGCCTCATCCTCTCTGCTTCGTCCAACTGACCACGCTGGTTCAAGGTGACAGCAAGGTTTCCCATTGCCGAAATGGTATGTGGATGGCGCTGTCCAAGGATATCGAGCTGCAGAGCAAGTACCTCTCGCCTCATCTTTTCTGCCTCGTCCAACTGACCGCGCTGGTTCAAGGTGATGGCAAGGTTGCCCATTGCAGAAATGGTATGTGGATGGCGCTGTCCAAGGATGTCAAGCTGCAGAGCGAGTACCTCTCGCCTCATCCTCTCTGCTTCGTCCAACTGACCACGCTGGTTCAAGGTGTTGGCAAGGCTGTCCATTGCCAAAATGGTATGTGGATGGCGCTGTCCAAGGATGTCGAGCCGCAGAGCGAGTACCTCTCGCTGAATCTTCTCTGCTTCGTCCAACTGACCACGCTGGTTCAAGGTGACAGCAAGGTTTCCCATTGCCGAAATGGTATCTGGATGACGCTGTCCAAGGATGTCGAGCTGCAGAGCGACTACCTCTCGATGAATCTTTTCTGCTTCGTCCAACTGACCACGCTCGTTCAAGGTGTTAGCAAGGTTTCCCATTGCCGAAATGGTATGTGGATGGCGCTGTCCAAGGATGTCAAGCTGCAGAGCGAGTACCTCTCGCTCAATCTTTTCTGCCTTGTCCAACTGACCACGCTGGTTCAAGGTGATGGCAAGGTTGCCCATTGCCCGAATGGTATGTGGATGGCGCTGTCCAAGGATGTCGAGCCGCAGAGCGAGTACCTCTCGCCTCATCTTCTCTGCTTCGTCCAACTGACCACGCTCGTTCAAGGTGACAGCAAGGTTGGCCATTGCCGAAATAGTATCTGGATGGCGCTGTCCAAGGATGTTGAGCCGCAGAGCGAGTACCTCTCGCCTCATCCTCTCTGCTTCGTCCAACTGACCACGCTGGTTCAAGGTGACAGCAAGGTTTCCCATTGCTGAAATGGTATGTGGATGGCGCTGTCCAAGGATGTCGAGCTGCAGAGCGAGTACCTCTCGCCTCATCTTTTCTGCCTCGTCCAACTGACCACGCTGGTTCAAGGTGATGGCAAAGTTGCCCATTGCCGAAATGGTATCTGGATGGCGCTGTCCAAGGATGTCGAGCTGCAGAGCGAGTACCTCTCGATGAATCTTTTCTGCTTCGTCCAACTGACCATGCTGGTCCAAGGTGATAGCAAGGTTGGCCATTGCAGAAATGGTATCTGGATGGCGCTGTCCAAGGATGTCGAGCTGCAGAGCGAGTACCTCTCGCCTCATCTTTTCTGCTTCATCCAACTGACCACACTCCTGTAACATATCCCCAAGCGTGGCCATCACCCATCTTGAGCTTTCATGCCGTTGGTCGTGATGCTCCTGCACTTTGGAGAGTGCAGATTCTAGCAGTTCTTGGCAAGCCCTCCAGCCACCCAACAAGTTGTAAAGCTTGTAGAAGGCCAATGCGTGTGCCACATCCTCCGATTGCACTGATCGAGGGATGTTGTTAGCGTGTGGAAGCAATTGCCAAAGCCGCACATTGCTACCCTCCAACGGCCGGATTGCCCCCAGTACGAGTTGGGTCGCCGTGCGCACATAGTGTCGATTATCTTCATCGTTAAGATAATCCTTGATGTACATCTGAAGGAGTGGATGCACAGTGTAGAATAACCCATCGTTCGAAGCATTGATAAATGACGCTTGAGATGCCGAGTCAATGATCTCCTGGAATGCGACCTCGTTCCACGCCGTGCCTAGAATCTCCTGGAGCGTTGAGATGAATGTTTTGTCAGACTCAGGGGGAGGAAAGTCATTCAAAACAGTGTATGTAGTAAAGCTGGACTCTATCGAGTGCTCAAACAATGAAATCGGGATGAGCGAATGGTGAAGAAATGCGCAAATCTTCAGGAAGTCTTGCGTCTTCGCCGGCAAATTGTGGAACGACAGGTCGAATGCGGTGTATGTCGACGATGTATACTCGTTGCCGAAATCTGGCTGCTTGCGCAGGAGTTCGTCTCGGTGCTTTCGAAACGTGTTCACATACGTTTCGAGTCGCCGTGTTTTGCGAATGTACACTCCTGCTTGAGTGATCGCGAGCGCCAGCATCCCCAACTCCTGAACGATCTCGATAGACTTGGTGTTGGATGTAGGCGAGGCATTGGCGAGTTTGTGAAGCAGATTGACCGCCTCGTTTTCCTCGAGATCACCAACAGCAACAGCGCCATCCGGAGCGTAGCTTATGCACTCGCTATTCCTCGTGGTGATCAAAATAAACCCGTGAATGGAAGCGGGAAGATATGGGCCAAGGTCGAGGTTTGGAGAGTCGGCATTGTCGATGAATAGTAACCAGCCTCTTTCTTTGCCGTCGAGGTAGGCAATTGCATCCTTCCACCCCATCGCTCTGTACTCCGGACCCAAGGAGCGAATAAATTGCTCCAAGTCTGCTTCAATTTGCGTCTGACTGGAGGCGTCGACAAAAATCACCCGAGTAAACCTAGTAAAGATGAGACAGTTCCAAGCATTTCTATCGTTCGTACCTGGCTTCGTTCTCTCCAATCCAGTTCGTTGCTAGTTGAGTCTTACCTGACCCTCCGATTCCATGTAATATACACCTTGGTTGACGTTGCACCTGACCACCCGGGAGCAACTTCTGCGTGATGAGGGACTGGACCGCCTCTCGCTTGATGTAGCTCCTTGATACGGATGGACGAGGTTTAGGCAGTATGTCCTCTGGAGGAGCATATTCTTCATTTGCTACAGCTATGCTTTGATCAGCCAAACACATTGGGATAGACTGGTTACAAACTGCGAAGCCTGTCCTCTGTAGCCCACTTCTCCTGCACTGCCAGGGGGGCATTGTCGACGTATCCCTTGAGGTGATGATGAACCGTTTTATAGTTTTCTTCATCTTTGGATGAAAATCGAACCATGTTGCGGTGATTCGCATGAAGCACGATAGTTGTCCCGTTGCGGTCACCGGAGATAGTGGCTGAGTGATATGGAACATTCTATTTTTCGTTTAGTATTGTATTCGTGATTGGGAATCCCACTGACCAGGTCTCCACGATTCCCAATACCGGAAGTCACATACTCCGCATAAAAGAAGATGCTGTTGATCTTCTCACTCGCCGCAACGTACAGACTCTGAATGTTCTCGAGTTCAGCCGAATTGGATCGAAGATCCTTGATGATATTGTCGGTAGTCTCCATGTATACCGACGCCAAGAGGTTGATTCCTTCAAGAATGTTTGTATTTTCGAGGCCGGAGTGCGGGGTTCCAAAGAATAAGATTCCATGCGTGGATACGACCACGTCCCGAAGGCCACTCTTGGATGTCAAACTCTCATTATGGCAAATGACGAGAGCCTATGAAAGGGTCAGCACCTGGGTTTTGGTGGCTCCGCATGAACCCATTTGAGAATGATACCTCCTAGATCATGGGCAACGAAAATGATCGGACGCTAATCACTTGTTCAAAGGAGGCCAATCGGCAAGAATTGTTTCCCTTACTCGAGCGTCCTTGCGTATCCGTGAGAGTGCCTGGGCTAGCTTCTCGGCATGTCGACGCATCGTCTGGGTTGATACGCATTCTCGACTGCGAGTGTCGGCGTCGTATCCATAGAGAAGGACTCGAGCGTTGGGTATGTCGGTACGCAAGAGGTCACGTAGCCACAAGTCTCCGTCTTCTGTCGTCCATGTCTTCTCTCTATGTCCTTGCAGACCATGAATAGCGACGATACTGGCGGGGAAAGCTAGGTGAGCGGCGAGCACGTGTAATAGCTGGGGTACTTGCTCGACGACAGGGTCAGTTCCAGACTGGACTTCTAGGAATCCGAAATGATCCGTCTTTGATTCTGTCTTCGAAGCCGAAGGCCTGTTACTCTGGGAATCCAGAGGTGTGGATTGGGCGTCGTTGTGCGACAATGATTGGGAGAGACGTAGGGTGTCCAACGAGGACAAGCGAGCATCCGACATTGTTCACGATGGAGATGGTGAGGAGCAAGCAAGGCTCGTTATTTGCTCAGAGGCGTGGCGCTAAACAGCCGGCGAGACTGGCACAGAGACCCCAATGAGCCAGCGGTGAAGATAGTCAAAAATGGCAACAATGTGAGCTAATGTCTCCACAATGACATTGCATTTCAAATCAGCAGACCATTGATTCCCTCGAATAAATATGAGTGGTGTAGTATCCTGAGGATGTCTTTACCTTGGGGAGGTATGTTTCTTCCGAGACCATGGGCTATACTGAGACACCCGAGTCCTTGCGGACGCAATGACGTGAAAATGACATGTTTTATGAATTTGAACTAACGAGGTGTCCGACCAGTTGTTCCATCAAAAATAGCGCAGTTTCGTGCTTTTGGTCGTGACGCGGCTGAACTTGGGAAGTGCGGACTCTAATAGCTCTCGACATGCCTTCCAGTCCCCCAATGCATCGCAAAGTGTGTAGAAAGCAAATCCGTGCGTCAAATTCTCTGATTGCACAGATCGAGAGATTCTTTAAGTGTGTGGGAGCAATTGCCAAAGGTGCGCATTGCTCTCCGCCGGCACCCAGCACGAGCTGCATCGTCGTATGCGCATACTATCGGTTATCCCGTGGAATGTAACCTCCCATGTCATTTCATGCCCATAACGCGCCAGAATGAAATCTTTTCAGAGACTTAGTACTTGATCGGAACAAAGCAAAGACTTTACTATTATAGTCACTTCGGTGTAAACGCGTTCACTGTCACTTGACAATGATCAGAAGGTAGTCGTGCAGATGGATTCAGGGTACATGAATAGGCCATCCATATTGAAAAGGACGTATTCGACAGGCTATATCATGTTTGAAGCCATGTCGCCGAGTCGAAGGATGTCCCGCTACATAACCGCTCGCAAAATTCTGGAAATGCCTAACACTTCCTGCGTACTTGACACCAATCAACACTCAGATCACACCCGAGAACCGACATAGGTCCTGTTACTGACTGAGCGCCCATGTAAGAGAGAGAGAATCAATACTCGAATACAATTGGAATGATCTGGTAGAGCAAAACATGACTATGTAGAGCGCTCGGTGCATGTACAGCAGACGGACAGGATTCGTTGAAATCTACCACGAGAGTGACGAGATTGTTGTAAAACAATGGTATCCAGGAGCTCCTTTGATTTCACAGTACAACGATGATCCGCACCCAAGACTTCAACGCGTAATTCCATGGTCTCTTGCAGAAGCCTTGCAGCCTCTTCGAGTTTATTGTTCTTGAACAAAGTCATAGAGAGATTGTACGAGGCATCCAGAGTTTCTGGATGCCGTGGTCCAAGCATCTCCAGACGTAGAGCAAGTACTGCTTGCTCTAGTTTCTCCGCATCGTCCAGCTGGCCACATTGATAAAGTGTATTGGCAAGGTTGGCTATTGCCAAAATAGTGCCTGGATGGCGCCGTCCAAAGATCTCCAGCCGGAGAGCAAGTGCCGTTTGTTGAAGCATTTGCGCCTCTTCCAGCTGATCACGGTCGTACAAGGTGCTTGCAAGGTGATCCATTGCCAAAATGGTGTCTGGATCCCGTGGTCCACGGACGTCAAGCCATAGGGCAAGAACCTCCCGCTCAAGCTTTTCTGCCTCATCCAGTTGACCACTTTCATGCAAGGTGGGTGCAAGGTTGTTCATTGCCAGAAGGGTGTTCGGATTGCGTGGACCAAGGATGTCAAGCCACAGAGCGAGTACCTCTCGTTCAAGCTTTTCTGCCTCGTCCAATTGACCAAGCTTGTGCAAGGTACCTGCAAGGTTGTTCATTGCCAAAATGGTGTCTGGGTGGCGTTGTCCAAGGATTTCCAGCCGCAGAGCAAAGACCTCTCGCTCTATCTTTTCTGCCTCTTCCAACTGACCCAGGTCGCGCAAGCTGCCGGCAAGGTTACCCATTGCCAAAATGGTGGCTGGATGACGTGATCCAAGGATGTCAAGCCGCAGAGCGACTATCTCTCGCTCAAGCCTTTCCGCCGCATCTAACTCACCACGGCTGTACAAGATGGTTGCGAGGTTGCTCCTTGCCACGATGGTGTTTGGATGACGTGGTCCAAGGATGTCAAGCCGCAGAGCAAGTACCTCTCGTACAATCTTTTCTGCCTCTTCCAGCTGACCACGCTCATGCAAGATACCCGCAAGGTTGTTCATTGACGAGATAGTGTCTGGATGATGTGGTTCAAGGATCTCCAGCCGCAGGGCGAGCACCTCTCGCTGAATCTTTTCAGCCTCGTCCAACTGACCAAGGGCGTGCAAGGTACCCGCGAGGTTGTTCATTGCCAGAATGGTGGCCGGATGGCGTGGTCCAACAATCTCCAACCGCAGAGCGAGTACTTCTCGTCTCATCTTTTCCGCCTTGTCTAACTGACCAAGGTTGTGCAAGGTGTTAGCAAGGTTGCCCATTGCAGTAATAGTGTCTGGATGGCGTGGTCCAACAATCTCTAACCGGAGTGCAAGTACTTCCTGCTGAAGCTTTTCCGATTGATCCGACTGGCCACAGTCCTGTAATACCCGGCCGAGTTGTTCCATCAAAAAGAGGACACTTTCGTGCTTTTGGCCGTGACGGTGCTGAACTTGTGAAAGCGCGGACTCTAATAGCTCTCGGCATGCCTTCCAGTCCCCCAATGCATCGTAAAGTGTGTAGAAGGCTAATGAATGCACCAAATTCTCCGATTGGGCCGATCTAGGGATTTTTTGAACGTGTGGAAGCAACTGCCAAAGGCGCGCATTGCCACCCTCCGATGGCCGAATCGCACCAAGCACGAGCTGCATCGTCGTACGTTCATAAAGTCTGTTATCATCATCGCTCAGATGATGCTTGATGTACATTTGAAGGATGGGGTGGACAGAGTAGGATAGTCCATCAGTCGAAACGTCAATAAACGACGCGCGCGATGCAGATTTAACAATCTTCTGGAATTTCTTTTCGTTCCACATCATGCCTAGAATCTCCTGGAGCTTTGAGATGTATACTTGGTCACTTTCTGGTGGAGGAAAGTCATCCAGGACCGTGTATGTAGCGAAACCGGTACCCATCGACTCCTCAAACAAAGATATTGGGATATTCGAGTGGTTAAGAAATGCACAAAGGTCCAAAAAGCTCTGTGTATGAGCCGGTAAGATGCGGAATGACAGGTCGAACGCGGTGTACGTTGAGGATGTGTATTCGTCGCCTACGTCTGGCTTCTCGTCCAACATTTCGTCTCGATGCTTTCGAAAGGTGTCCAAGTATGTTTCGAGTCGCCGGGTCTCGCGAATGTATGCACCCGCCCGAGTAATCGCGAGCGCGAGCATCCCCAACTCCCGAACGATCTCAATAGACTGAGTGTTGGATTGAGGTGAGATATTGGCGATTTTGTGAAGAAGATTGATCGCTTCGGTTTCCTCGAGACCACCCACGGGAATTGCACCGTCCCGAGCGTAGCTGATGCATTCACTGTTCCTCGTAGTGATCAAAATTGATCCATAAACGGAATTAGGTAGGTATGGGCGAAGGTTTAGATCCGGGAGGTCGGCATTGTCAAGAAACAGGAGCCAGCCTTTTTCCTTGCCGTCGAGGTAGGCCACCGCGTCCGCCCAGGTCATCTTGCTATATTCTGGGCCCAAAGAGCGGATTGACCGCTCCAAATCTGCTTCGATTTGTGCCTGACTGGAAGCATCAATAAAAATCACCCTAGTGAATCTGACAAAAGGTTAGCGGTTCTCTCGGAAGCCGTCACAAATCTTACCTGGCTTCGTGATCCCGAATCCATCTCGTTGCAAGCTGAGTCTTGCCTGAACCTCCGATTCCGTGTAATATACACCGTGGTTGATTCTGTACGCTGCCCGGAAGCAACTTTTCCGTGATGAGGGATTGAATCACTTTTCGCTCGATGTAGTCTCTTAATACAGGTGGACGAGATTTAGGCAGTGGGAGGTCTAGGGAAGCTTGCTTTCCCTTTGCCGCATCTGTAAAGCCAATCAGTGCAGAAAGCGTAGGGAGGTGGTTACAAACCACGAAGCCTGTTCTCCGTAATCCACTTCTCCTGAACAGCTGCAGGCGCACCGTTGACATAGTCTTTGATATGGTACTGAACCGCTTTATAATTGTCGTCCTCCTTGGATGAAAATCGGACCAGATTGTGGTGATTCGCATGAAGGACGATTGTCGTTGCGTTGCGGTCGCCAGGGATAGTCGCCGAGTGATACGGGATATTCTATCGCCGAGTTAGTTTCTGCCCCCTGGATGGCAATACACGAACCAGATCTCGTTGATCCGCAGTGTTCGACGTTACGTATTCTTCGCAGAAGAATATGCTGCTTATTTTCTCGCTCGCTGTAGTGTATAAATCTTGTATGTTTGCAAGCTCGGATGAATGAGATTGAAGATCCTTGATGATAACGTCTGTAGTTTTCATGTATAGTGACGCGAAACGGTTGATTACTTCGAGCGAGGTGATACTCTCGAGACCGGAGTGTGGCGTCCCGAAGAATAGGATTGCGTGTGTGGACACGAGGACATCGCGAAGCTTGTGATAATCTGATGTTAAGCTTTGCGTATGGCAGATAACGAGAGCCTACGAAAAGGTCATCAGCTTATTTCTCGGGGATCTAGTGTCACAAACCCATTTGAGAATGATGCCTCCTAGATCATACGCAACGAAAATGATGGGGCGCTAGTCACTGTTCAGAGGAGACCAGCCACTGCCAGGATTTACTCACCCGAGGGTGGTCTTTCCGTGCCCGCGAGAGAGCCTGGGCTAGCCCCTTGGCATGTAGATACATTGTATTTGTTGATACACACTCTCGGCTGCGAGTGTCGGCATCATAGCCGTATGCAAGAATTCGAGCGTTCGGTATATCGACCGGCAAAAGGTCACGCAGCCAAAGGTGTCCATCATCCGTTGTCCATGTCTTTTCCCTATGCCCCTGCAAGCCATGAATAGCGACGATACTGCCAGGGCAAATCAACTAAGCCGCGAGGAGGTGCAATGGCTAGTGTGCTTACTCGACAACCGGGTCTATTCCAGGGGTAATTTCTAGAAACCCAAGATCATCTATCTTTGATTTGGGCATGAGGGTTGGTGATCTGCCAGCCGTGGAATCTGTAGATTGTTCCGCATGTAAACGACTATCAGACATTGTTTATGATGGAGATAATGAGGGACAAGTGGGCTCGGTTCTTTTAAAGATGCACTAAGGACTGGCCCAGGTGGCGAGGCAACTGGCGAGAACTGAAGCTGGCAAGTAGGGCTGACCTGTCTGTCGGGTTATTTTTTCAATGAATTGATCAGAATAATGGCAATTGACTGTCCACATTTGCTTCGGTCAATTAGACCTTGGAACATCGAGCTCTGGCGTCTAGTATGTATAGACTATGAAGGAACGATGCAAGTAATCAATATCTTGCTCGCCTAGATGCGCGATTCTACCGGAGACAACGCGCTAAAAGTCGAGCTACACCGATTGAGGCAGCCCATATTCACCCGTTCGTCCGTAATGGATGTCTCCAACGGGGTACACGATGTACATGTCTGCGTATTTTGGGGTGATGATTAGTGCAAAGGTCCAGTCAATGGGCCGTTGGTGGTCGAGGTCGCGGTCCTTGGGTCGAAGTGAATCCAGTCTTCGCCACCACATTCACTCACAACTTTCTTGGGAAAAATGTCTGATACGGAAATGCAAATGTAAAGCCTTAATGGTTAATGCTTTTGGAATAACTAAGAACATTGTAGGGACACGACGGAGGGACATCGCGAGGTCGAACACGAGGAGAGCATTGAGCAGTCGATGGATCAGTCTGAACACGAAGGAGACGAAACTCATGATGAATCTGAAGACTCTGAAGACGAAGAGGCGCTCGTCGTACGTCGCTTTGATGAGGATTTTGCTGATATTGACGCGTGTTTGTGGTACAGGAGATGGATCCAGCAAAGATTCTACCAACACGCATCCGTCCCAACATGCCAAAGGTCGATTACACGTCCCCCGAGGCGATTGCCCGTGCAGGCATTGCCGGGCAGGATGAGCCAGATCCTCAGGACGCAGAGTATATCCCCACAGAGGAAGCTGTACCCGAAGACGAAGACCACAGCATGCAGCAATAGCAATAGCCACACTCTCTGGCGGATAATTGTCGAAATCGGCCATGTTGCCCCATGTCGCAGCCAGTCCCATGCGCAGTATCAACCATAATAGAAAACTAGTTTCTGACAAGACTATGAGGCGATTGCCTGCGTCCACAGCTCCCGTCAGGTCCACCCATCGTCGTAATCGCCCGCCGCAGTCGTACATTAAACCTCTTGCACCCGACGCTCACCGCCTGAGCAAACGCGGTGCTCGCCCTTCCCTTCTTTCTCATCATTACTCTATCCATAATCAAATTTTAAAATGACCGCGTTTCTCTGCTGCTTTTCCGCTGCAGCCATGTCGGATGACCCCGACGTAACCCTCTCGCTCGACCCGTCTGCAACGTCGTTTCTCGATGGTGACCTCGTTGATCCCTCGGGGAGAGCAATATATACGATTGAGACCGCCGACGCGCTCACAAAATTGTCCTCTGTTCACAGCAGCCGCTCTCGACGACATAGCGCCAACTCGACTAGCTCTGTTGTGGCCAGCATTCGATGGCCATCAAGACTAGAACCTTCTAATGGACGAAGATCAAGCCCTGTCATCGCTCCTGATGCAATGGTATCCGTCCACGGGAATACGATCCCCTCTGGTCGTCTGCTTCGGCCTCGGAAACTCGTCACGTATGTCCGAGCTACTCGTTAAACAAGACATATACCCATAATATTTGATTATAGTGACGGAAAATCGCACAAATTTCGCATCGACGGTTACAAACCAACATTCCGGTGGAAGCGAACTGGCAAATATTATACTCTTTTTGCCACGGGCCACAAACGACCGATTGCAAAACTCACTTCCGACCACTTGACCGCGACGTACCGACTGCAGGTCACCGGAACGACACTCGCTTCCTACCATTCGCAAGACGGCCACGGCGCCGTATCTTCCGTCTTACTAGACCACATTGTCCTCACATCTCTCCTCCTCGTCACCCTCCTCTCGAATGGCGTCGCATCTCAGGTGCGACTGCCACCTGCACGTCCATCGTGACGGGTACAGACGATTTTGAGTTTGAGGAACCAGCCGCGTTCATTTACACTCCTTCATCCCATCCACGTAATCCATTTCTAGACGGCGCTCAATGTCGGCCGTCGTATTTTGTCGGAGGCCTGCCGACTATGGCGCCCCCGCCTCCACACCTTTTCGCCACAGAGGAGAGAGACAACTCTCTCGAGCTCCGACGACAGGCGAGCACTACTAGTAGTGCCTCTAGTCGCACCCTCGTTCAAAGTTTGGTCCACCGTGTACTGGCCAGCGTATCGTCCAACGATTCTCGCCTGTTCCCATCGTCGTCGACAGGCAACCTTCCACACTCGTATGGCGGGAGCACCTCGTCACTGCGGAGCTCTATCCCGGCTCGATATTGATGCGTAGATCGTCACTAAAATCACCCTTTCTTTCCTTTGTCTCGTGGATTACTCACACTGTACAATTAGCTTTGCCAGTTATCAGAAATCTAGATACCTATACGTCACTCTAATTAATTGAGTAGCAACATTACCTCGTTTGCGATCAAGCCCTTCAAGTTCGCAGGATAGCTATAGCTTATCGGACAGAGGGACGACTCTGAAGGCGACTTTGGCGTCCTATTTCCGGAAGTTCGTCGGGGCATCGGAAAGTGGGAGCTGACAGGACATGGGCGTTAGAGGTGCGATGGCGAGTTGTCAGGCTCTGGGCGTCAACTCTTGGACTCTCCCTCATGGATGCTCCCCAAGTCTCTACAGCATTCCCCGAAGGAGAGGGCGATCTTTGCCTCATATCGAATGACGGCGTGCTTTTCTACGTTCACAGCCAGCTCCTTCGTCACTCGTCCCCCGTCTTCGCGACCATGTTCGAGATCGGGGGCGGCACAGGAAAGCCCGAGGGAAAAAGCAATGATCCCGTTCGCATGGAGGCAGATGCAGCGACCTTGGAGCTCCTGCTCCTCTATGTCTACCCGCTCCACAAGAACCCACAACTCGAGACTCTCGAGCAAATATCAACTCTCCTAAGTCTCTCTCATCGCTATGAGCTCAATGGAGTCACCCAACAACTCCGCACGGCGTTGACAGAGTCGCCCGTAGAAGATGATACTGTTACTTTGCCGCTCTATAAGATGTCTCCACTAACAGCACTCGCGATAGCAGATGCATATGAGCTAGTGCCGGAGGCAAGGCTTGCGCTGCGTTACTGTCTGGACCTAGATCAGTCACGACTTCTTCAAGTCACTGGAAATATCAATATTCCAGTCAGAATAATGAGTGTCGTCTTGGCATTACGACAGCAGAGGATCGACTGGTTTGCTTCGAAAATGGACTCTGTTGGATGGTCAGGACACAACTATCAAGCTTATGCAAAGGCAAGACTAGCAATAGAGCGTAAATTTCAAAAGCGACCGGATCTGTGCACGCTGGAGGACGTAGTGTTTTCAAATAACAATCTAGACATACCAGCTGCCACTTTCCATCAATGGAGAAAGGAGTGGTTTCAGATGTATCACAAACTACCAGAATTTGCCTCGAAATGACCTGGTAAGTAAAGGAACGACCCGAAGGGCAACACTTGCTTACTTTCGTCAGGTGTCCCATTATTCCTAGAGAGAAGAAATGGATCACTGGTGGAGATGTTGTTGTGTAGACGGCACTGTAGCGGGCATCAAGGTGTCCTACTTTGCCATAAGCTTGTGATACCCACGATTCTCATGGCAACCTATATATGAAGTCGTCTCGCTCGAGGATTGAGCTCATTCGGTACTATTGTCCATTAAAATCAGATGATACTGCCTATTATTGTCGCGGGAGTCTCGGTGACGGACCATGAGCGGCGAGGGGGACACAATACGTCGTCTATAAGGTATCAGGGCATGAAAACGCGAGTATAGACAAGAAGAATACCCATAGGAAGGCGACGGTCCTGCTCAAACTCGGCAGACGGTGGTGAGAGTTGAAAATGGCCAGCGGCCGTCGTATACCAGAAGTACAAACGTCAGAAGAGTGCTTAAATCGATATATAGCCTACAAAGATACTGCACTAAACGTTAGCAGACTCCCAGAGGTCCACGCACCACGGTGAGAGCGACGCCTGACGCCCAAACGCGCCAGCGGCTCGCAAAATCCGCACGCGAGCTGATAGCAAATGGTCGAGATTATCCGCGGCAACGCCGTGAGAGTTTGAGAATGGTAAAGGCAGACGCCAAACACGGCGCCATCCTTCTTTTCAACCACGACGTCGCAGGTGCGCGTCCGGTCATCGTCTTTGAAGGGCCAACCAAGTAATTCCATAGACGGGATGGACATTGCTCAGCTTTTTCGAACGCGTTTGCAACGTGATTTGCTTGAGATTCAGGCAAACGCGGACGCAGGCATCCACGTTCACGTTGCCAGCGAGGACATGCGCAGGCTCTGCCTCCAACTGTGCCCACAAAACGGTCCATGGGCTTATCTGAGGTTACACTTTACGGTTGAGTTGCCGTCGAACTGGGTCCGTGTTTTCTCAATCTTGCCACATCATTGTCAGGTCGACCTGAACCGTATTATCGAGTTTGGTGTGTCAGGTGTTTCTAAACGCACTTTATTTCGTCTTTTGGACGTCGTCTTGAGAGCCCATTCCGCCTGCGCCGTCATCGAGGTCGATACTGACGATGTTGCCCCTCATTTTCTTGCACAGCCGGCCAGCCCGCCGCGGATTTGGAGCACGATAAATAATATCCAGCATCCAAACATCCTCGACGAAGGTCTTGTGTGTTGCGATCTCTTCCGGGAGACGGCGGGAGGATACTCTGGGACCAAATACGCCGGGTATGTCTCAAATTGTCCAATAATGATGTCGTTCGTTGACCGAATAAAAAGCTATACGCCAGGGTATAGGCTGCGTGGTGTGTTCCAGCAACTGCTTGCCATGTTCTCCAGCTCGTGGGTAAGCGACAATTATGGCTCGCGTGGCGAACACCTCGGGAGTGCTGTTATTGAGCACTACGTCACCGAGGCGGATCTGATGGGTCCATTTCGGCAATCGTATTCACTCAACGACCGGCGGTCGGCGTACCCCTATGTTGAGTCTGAGCAGCGGTTAGAGAGGCTGTGGAATGCGGATGACTCGGAAGAGGTGTTGATCATGGCATACGAGACTGAGGACGGCAGCGAAATTAGACAACTCACCAAAAAGAGCATGTTGCGTGGTCAAATCGTACCCCAGTCAAGCTTTGCCTCAAGTACAAGTCATTTTGCTACTTCTGAGGTCCAGGCGATCTCGCGTGCCTCGAAAATGTGCGCCTCAACAGGGCGTGTGTTCAAGTTTGAGTCGCGGAGCCCGTTCTGGGAGCGTACGCGTCGCAAACTTGAAGTATTTGAGTGCACTGAGTGTGGATATGGGATAGATTCGATGCCACATTATTCGCCTGGCGGTATTTTGCCCCTACATAAGTTCCGCCCGCCCTACATGATCCCTGCCCGGGTCAACCAGCTTTCACGGCTCAAAATGGACACGTTACACGTTCTGTGCGATTTCCTGCCAGACGAGTCGCTGCGTGCGCTGAGCGTCGCGTATCCGCCGTTCGACGCGTTTTTGCGACGGGCAAACGTCCTCCGCAGACGCCAAGTGCGCTGTTTCTACCTGTCTACACCGTTTGAAGACCGTAAAGAAGGAGCTGGAGAGCCAGAGCTGTCGTCGACGATGGGCATTGGAATTGCGTTGGATGCAAAGACGAATCGCCTGTCGTGCCCCACCCTCGTCGATGGCTTCCTGTCTGAAGCTGCATTCCAGAAATGCGGCGTAAGAAGGAGCTCAAGGAAACACGAGTTTGGATTTTTCCTCCCGCTCGCGCTCAACTATCGCCATTTGAAGCAGATCAAGCCCCGCGTGTTTGAATGCCTCAAGACGCTCAGCCAGCAAGTCGCCCTCGCTGATCCACATCGGTGGAAAAGTAATCCAGCAGTACATTCACCTTCTCTGCGTTCAACACGCGCCACAACGACGATAAAGCCACCTGCATTGAACATTCGGACTCCGCTTCAAGCAGACGTCGATAGTGTCAACGTCTTGTACAAGCTCCTAAACGACGTCATGACGGGCTACATGCGTTCTTGCGAGGCCATCCTCGACGCACCTCCAGCCGCCTTGCGACGTCGTGGAGGCTCAGGAGGATCCCTCCAAGCCCAAATCGAAGAAGAAGAGTCTGCTACTGTCACCTTGACACACGCTGCAGAACGATTCCTCCCCGTCTATTGGCAGGTTCTCCACCTGTTGATATCCTTATGTCGCGAGAATCCTGCCATTCTTCGTGCAGCTCACGCAAGAGTGAGGCAATTCATCGATCATCCAGAAAAGAGGAGTAAAGAATACGAGCCCGACCTTGGAGAACTCCTCGTCGTAGCTGCATTGGTCTTTGCCTGCCAGGACGAGGGGCTCCTCCCCTTGCGGGACACGGGTGAAGTTGTCCCACCGCAACCAACCCGTCAGCGCGAGTCACAGCGATCCCAAACGACACCTGGGGGCAGACGTTACGACCTTCGAAATGGACACAACGCACGACGACCCGCATCAGTTACTTCTGGATCAGGTCGCCAGATATCTGGAAGCGCCAAAGATTCAGTGATCCGCTGGTCGGAGCATTTTGCGGGGCCACTCCTTAAAGAGGCCATGACGCGCGGTGTAAAGACTGCACTCGAGCATTCCCCCGATTTACAACATCTCGAAACGGGTGCTTGTCCTTACCGTACCACAAAGACATTTCAGCACTGTCGTGGACCGCTCAGACAACTCGCGCTCCAAGTCTCCATGGTCGCCGTCTTCAACTATTTCGAAACGATGCAAAAGGGGCCGCATCCACAGCAGACGCACCTCGACCGAAACTTTGGCAATCCGCCACCAGAAGCAGTCCTCGTCCTCACCGAAGAAGTCAAAGCCGTACACCGGCTTTCGACATGGGGAGAACTGTTTATCAAAATACAATATGAAAATGGAAAGGCGTGGTCCGATGTCGAGCTCGCCTCTGCGTTGCGACAATGCATGCTGCTCAGCGAGCGACGAGGCTATCACACCAATCATTACCAACACGCCGAGGCAAAGTCTCGCTTGCTCACGATACGGGCGAAAGGAAAAGGACTGGAAGATGGATCACGCCCGACGTATGAAATCAGCGTTGAGCGTTTTGGTCTTTGCTCTCGTAGGCGACCGTTTTATGACACTACCTCGCGTCTGTTTTACAGGCTGCCACCAGTGTCATGGAAGCCGAGCATCTCGACCATTCCTCGACTTTTAATCCCGAGTCGCTTCTGGTAAGCGTGGGTTAGCCTCCTGCCCAAAACAAATACAATTCTCGTGTCCTCTGGTTTCCTTGTCCGTCGTGTGCCGAATTGATGACTCTAGATGTCCAGTAATTCCCAACGCTCTCCACCTGTTCGATATCCATCTGAAGACGCAGCGTTCGTCTTGTGTTTTATAGTGTATATAATCGAAATTCAGAATCACGTTTCCCTGTAAACAGATTTCCGTGAGCCGTCTCATTGAACCAGCTCGGTCAGATGGACAGGCTCATAATAGAGGCAAGGAGCGCGCTACTCGCCTGAAGAGCTCCTCGTCACCACTTGTTCTCATACGGGATGAACGTTACATAGATCTCGCCTCACACTGTCAATTTTCCTCATAAAATAATGGAATATCACAGGAAAAGAGAGATACCTATACCATTATCCCAGCTTTCATTCCTTTATAGGTGTATAGACAGAGTCTCTTCTGCGTACAGTCCTCCGCACCGATATCGTCAGTACTGCACAAAACTTATATCAATACACATGAGATTGTGACCCCCCGGTCATGGGGACAAGACAAGGTGGCAGCGAGAATGGCAGCGAGAATGGCAGCTGTGCACGGCGCTATTCTTCAGGTTCCCTCCCATGGTTTGCAAGGTCAGTGATCAACCAGGTGTTATCTCTGACCAGGTCGATCAGTACCTTCTGTAGGTGCTCCATAATGAAACAGCCCTAATCTCGTCAATACATGCGTACCAGGCTGTGGTCGTCCCTCGGGAATGCTTCCAGAAAAACGAATCCAGGTGTAACTACAGGCATTACTGCTAAACACTGATCCTGTGACTCAATGACTTTATTTGTATACGCTCTAGGTTTAGCAGTCGAGCGTGAATCCTTCCTATGTTTGCGGCCATTCGGAGTCAACCGAGAAGGCGCGTTCTGAGCTCACTGTCTGGCAATGATTTAGAAATTTGGCACGAGTTCACTGGTTGCTGGTTAGTAGGCTGCGCCTAGCACCTGCCATGCACCATTCGGCCCTGTAGCCAGCGATTGTTTACTTATAGAGTCGACGTGATCTATTATAAAACTCGCGGGGCAGGACATGGGAGCCTACCTGCGTCAGGAAACCCACTTTCCATCTCACAATGGGCGAACAACCGGCTGCAGCCACACGCATGGCGGAAATCTCGACCTTGTTTCCAGCAGGTCAAGGGGACTTTCTAGTCACCTCCGCCGACAGGATGCTCTTCTATGTACACCAAACAGCGTTGCTGCACGCGTCAGGCAACTTTAAAGCGGCATTCGAGAAGTCTGCAAGCGAAGCTACCGCTGGAGCCATTCCTGCCTTGAAGATGGAGGAAAATGCGGTAACACTGGAGATTCTTTTTCAATATGTTTACCAGGATCGGCAAAGTCCATCTATTGGTGACGTGCATATACTCAACAACGTCTTTCGTGCCGCGAGGAAATACGAAATGGAGGGAGTGCTGCAACAATTGCGAAAGAGTCTCTTGGAGACTCGCCTCCACCAAGGGAGGATTATTCAGCCGCTATACGTGCGATATCCTTTCGCTACACTCGCAATCGCAACTGCTTTCGATTGCAAAGACGAGGCACGCTTTGCTTTACGCGAGTGCCTGAAAGGTGACCTGGCGAGCCATATCAAAGACGCCTCTGGAATTCAGATTCCGGCTGATCTAGTGGTCTATGTCATGAGGTTGCGAAGAGAACGAGCGGCGTGGTTCTCCTCAAAGTTGGATAGCTGGCCATGGCCAACAGAGGGTTGCCATAATTGCTACCGTGGATATGCCGAGATTCGTATGCAGCTGGAGAAGGAGCTGGCATTCTCCTTGGACTATAAAAGCGTGAAGCAAGTCGTCATAGATCCCTCGCGAACGTGCTCCAGTCAACACCATATCCCTGAAGCAACCCGAGAGCTCATACAAGCTTGGGATGCCGAGTGGTTCGAGATGAAGCAGCCGCTTCCCCTTCTCTATACGCAATTGTGACGGATGGTAAGTCGGGTGAATTCTCTTTGACATGTACTAATCAACCTTTCAAGGGATTCAAGAAATAATCCAATACCCAAACCGGGCACTGATTGTTAGCGAGTGCCTCGACATATGCACAGTAGATATTCTTAACAGAGAGCACATATCTTTTGTTGACTTGTCGTTAGCGGTTGAGCCCTATGTACCTTGAAACGAGCTACGGTTCGGTCACCCATCCAATACTAATCATCTTGTGAGGATGTCAAAATCCGCTGCTATATTCATTCTCACGTTGTTACATTTGGCCAACGCGTTGTGGTGGCAGGTGCTCATCGGTTCTTTTTACGACACTTGTACGTGTTGAGGTACGCCGGTTACTCACAGCATGTTCATTACTTACACTAGTTGATGTAAACACGCTCGTTAGATGGTGTACGGTGCTCATTAGATCGTACGATTGAACAGTCAGGCACCGGCACAGACCAATACCACTCGCCCCTTCGACTCCGCCGACTTGCGGCAACTTATCAATCATGAGCGATGCTCAAGTATCTCCACTATTTCCCGCTGGCAGTGGTGACATTCGCCTCATCTCCACAGACGGCACTATCTTCTACGTTCACCGTCTAATTCTCCGACTCGCATCTCCCTTCTTCGAGACAATGTTCGAGATTGGATCCGAAGGAACTCCTCAGTCAAATCATTTGCCGCTCAGAGTGGAAGCTGATGCGAAGACTTTGACTTGCTTATTGCATTACCTTTACCCAACTCCATGCCGTCCACGGATTACAGACTTAGGTCAACTTACAGCCACTTTACGTACTGCAAAGAGATACGAAATGGAAGGCGTCATCGAGCAGCTCCGCAGCGTCCTAACGGAGAGGTATCTGGAAGAAGACGAGCTAATCGTACCCCTCTATATCAGATATCCCTTGCCTGTCCTTCTTATTGCGGATGCCTTCGGCTTCATCGCTGAGAAAAGGCTCGCCTTGCGGGAATGTCTCGAGGGCGATCTGACCGAACATCTCAAGACCGTAATATCCAGTGATATACCTGCACGAATCATGATAGGACTCCTCGAACTTCGAAAGGAGAGGCTAGAGTGGTTCAGGTCAAAGCTGAATGCCTGGTCGCCTCCGCTTGTAGAGCCGTGCTGCTCCCAAAAATTCTTGGAGCACCGTCAGAAAATCGAGACGAAAGTTTACCACTGTCTTGAATTTCAAACATCTGTGGATGAGTTGACCAAAGGTCTTCGATGTGATAATCAAAAGGTGACTACTTCTAGCTTCATAAAGGGGCACCTTATTGCAGTTCCATTTGATGCAGTAGTGCAAAGATGGGAAAGAGAGTGGGTAGTGTTGCGGAAATCCATCCCGAAGGTCCCCCCAATAATGGCGTAGCAGCTACAATTTGATAATTCTACGCAGACTGCAACAGAGGCGGTCCGTGATGTTGATTTGCGGCAGCGAACGCTTTTAGAAAGACACTATAGGTATCCTAAACAGAGAAACTGTATTTCTTGTGCATTGTCACCCAAGGTCGAGTCCAAGTTGTATCTTTGACCCAACCATGTCGACGATATCGCGGCGGGCGTGCACAACGATTCAACGTCGGGCAGCACGTTATGCGCCGAAATACGCTCGTTCAGCTTCATCTCACGCACATGGAGAGCACCACCACCGACCATCACCATCACGAAGAGGCGCATCCATTCACATATCGACAAGAGAGTAAGAAGCACTGAGGAGAAATGCTTAAAATTAATCTTCGGATTTGTAGCAATGACTTCTCGACCGATCATCCTGACCAGTGCCGCCTTTGTCGCTCTCGTTGGAATGAACGCGGCCGGACTTTTCGACGTAAAGGATAACAAGCACCCCATCACTCGCTACATTGCGTCAACAATCGATTCGAGAGATGCAATCATGGAAGAAAACCTGCACAGAATCAACGACGCAAAGGAAGAGGCCGCAAACTATCGTCTCGAGTCGACTGCTCGCAAGGATCCCGTCAAGGGCGTCAGGAACCCAGGGTTAGATCTTCTTTATTCTTTCATCGCCTTTGAGCTAATTCTTGTTCTAGTTTGGCTGCCATTGGATCTCCAACCGGCTTACCCGTCAGGTCAGTGGCTTATATATTCTATCCTTGCAACGCTAACTACCTTGTAACTACAGACCTGGTGTCGACTTTTCGGACATCAAGCCAAAGCGACTGCCAAGGGACGATTAAATTCAGGAATAAGGATAGACTACAGCCAGATGACCCGTGTAGTATACACCTGCTCTATTCCACGCGTCGTTTTTTGGAAGGATAGTTAGAGACCTTGTGCTCTCTGCGACAAGTGTGAGCTTCTGCGAGTACGAACAGAATACCACGACAAACCTGAATGCCTGCGACTTGCGTTTGCGGCTTTCCTTCTTCGCCATATTCCGCTGTAGCTGTCTCTTTGCCGCTGCTTGAGGATCAGACGCGACCTGTAGCTTTTGAGCATAAAGTCGCCTCTTCTTATGCAAACTCACCTGCATCGCGCGGGCGACTTTGCGCTCCCGTCGGACGTTCAGAGCACCTTGTCGGATTTGCCCGTACGCGGCCGTAAACTTGGTGATGCCGACCTTGCTCTGGACAAGATCTTGCAGCTCTTGTGCCACCAGTTTCACTTCATCTGCTAGAATGTCAATCCAAAGCAACTTTTCGAGGACGAGTCGTTTACCCATGCCAGCGTCACGTATCGTATCGTCTTCCAACAAGCGATACACCGGAGTCAACACGTGATTCAAGAAACGCTCCAAATCCTCCGCTTCCATATGCGCGACCATGGCCGCGAACCATTGCAAGACTGAGAGGGGTTCCAGATGCCACTTCTTCTGTAGACCACTAAGTATGGCGTTTAAAGGAGAATAAAAGGCCGTACAGAAGCAGCAAACGTGTTCCGACGCTTGAGGTGAGCGGTTCGGACTTGATAGGAGAGTTTGGAGAAGAGCCAAGGTAAGGGTGCTCGCTTGATACGCTCCAACTTTGACAGCTCTCCCCTTTCGTTCTCGCCTCCTTCATCATCTTCACTCTCGTCCTCAGAATCATCTTCTGCATTTTGAGTCGCATCTAGAGTGCCATAGAATGTCTTTCCTAGAAAGACGAGGTTTTTGACGATCTGAAGAGCGAAAGGTTGATCGAGATGCTCGCTCCGCAATTGAATCGAGGAATTGGTGGCCACGGTGATCATGCCAGCGCGTGAGGCTGGATGCGAGTCGGATTGGTGGCCAAAAGATATTTTCCACGCGTAGAAGGACCCGAGCAGGCGGGATGCGGCTGCTCTGACCCAAGCATGAGGGAAGAGCATCAAGTCGACTATCGTCTCCCAAGCGATCTCCGTTTGTAGAGCCCTTTGGCTCTCGTTGTCGATGAACGCCTTGGAGAGCTTGGAGAGCAACCCAAGCGCCTGATATGGGACTTGCCAATCCAAGTCGACATCCATTGCATCCGTATCCTGCGTCACGAGCGACTCATATCGCTCCAGAGCAGTCTCAATGGCATGGTTGATATCCTCAACAATAGTGCCGAAGTATTGGGCGACGTTATCGATCGCGACTTGGGCGACAAGCCCGTAAACCTGGAAAGCGACGCCGGTGAGCGATGCTTGAGTGGTCTGACTAGCCCAAGCATGGACTCGTTCGAGCGTCTTCTGCCTTTCTTCGTTGCTCATAACGGTGTAGAGCTTCTTGACGAGTCCTGACGCCTTTTCCTTGCACACGGTCGACTCGTCGTTTGCCAAGACCATGACCAGGGCCGCAAGGAAGAGATCAATGAATTCAGAGAGGAGAGAAGAATCGAATTTGAGGAGGACTGCATCGAGCAGGATCATGACAGAGATCCTTCCTGGCTCATACACGTAGCTGAGGTTACTCGCCAGGAAGGTCATCTGCTTTCGAAGCCGTCCCTTGCCTTGCGGGTAATCGAGAAACTGGAGCATGATCCCGCGACACACTTCCTGCACTTGTGTCGACTGACTGGTCACCATGATGTTCGCAATCTTGTCCATCATGTCGTAGATTTCTGGGACGACCAACTTGCGTTGGATGATAGCGCGCAAGAGTGCAAACACAGAAGCTTGTCTCTCAGGCTCTTCAAGGTCTGGTACCATAAACTCGAGGAGGAACTGAAGGTCCTGTTCTTTGAGCTGGGCCGACGGACACTCGAAGGGTAGTGGCCAGAGATTTGAGCGCGGCCTGCGCCACCTCTGATTCTGCGCTACCAGATTGTCGTATAATGTTGACCTGCTGTCGGGTGATAACAAGCAGTGACTTCGGTACAGACTTCAGAGGTGCCTTAACAATGGATGAGATCGCTTTCAAGCCATTGATTACCACTGCTGTTGCCGAGGAATAGAGCGTATTCCCGATCAAACTGACAAGTGGTTCCAGGCGAGAAATGATGCCTTCATCATGAAAGTCGAACCTGTTGCGACGAAATGCGACCGTCAACAGATCTAGTCCAAGCACGGTGAATCGATACGAGTTGTGTGCGTAGTGCTTCGTGGCCTGAGGTAGGTCTCGTTTTGTCTGCACGACGTAATCGTTTTTCTTCCCTTTGCGATTCAGCTCTGGTTTCTCCTGGAGGAATTTGGCGTTTTGGCTGATCAACGTATGACAGAGGGAGAGTAGTGCGTTTGGGTCCAGGGAGGGATTGCTGTTTAGTCCACTCGAGAGACGTTTTAGAGTCTCGTCGACAAGCTGCATCACCTTGGCAGCCTGTGTCTCGTACATGATCGACTTCAGCGGTAGCAGACGTTGGCTAACAACAGAAGGAGACACGAAGCGGGCGAGAATCGTCATTGCATCAAGCCCTTTGGACGACGCACTACGAACTTCCCGAATCTTTGTCTTGAAATCCTCCCCTTGCGTGTCCTTCCCTGATTGCCCAAAGATGACCTCCGCCGACACTTCCGCGACGCTAGCCGCAACTTCGTCCAAGATTCCATCGGTGTTGGCTAATCCAGCATCGGAGGTGATATGGTGGATAAGCGAATGACATGTCACCGCAAGAATATGCAACTGCGGTCCTCGAGTCAGAGCCACACGCAACTCCTTGATAATAACGGGGAGATAAGAGGGGCCTGTAGAGACTAGAACCTTGCAGAGGACCTCTCTTGCTGTGTCTCTTGTCTCGCTCGACTTGCTGCGTAAGGCTTGACTGACAATGGTGATCAGCCGGGTGATCTGTGCACGTTGTTTCTCGGCGGGAGGTGCAGTGCGACCTTGACTACCCCAACGGCCATAGGCAAGCGAAGAGTATCTTCCGTTTCCTCTCTTTCTCCAGCAAAGCTGAGCAAGGCAGAGAAGACGTCCGTTGACGGCATCAGCAATCTTTGTTTCTGGGACCGACTGCACGATTTCTTCAGCCCCTTCCTCGTCGCCATCTTCCTCCTCTTGAACAGGCTCAGGGACATCCTCCTCCATTCTGAAGTGAAAGCTGTCCAGGATAATGACGACGGTACGAATCGCAGCTTTTTCGGGCAACTTCTTGTCCTTCACCGCCTTCAAGTATCGCTGAACTAGACTGTAATAGCGACTCCAAATGAGCTGTCGAGAGATGTGGCCGAGAGTGGTGATGGCCTCATTGACTAAAAAGATGGTCGTGGTTCTCCTCCCCTATGTAGTGACCAACGATTGGGACGAATATCTCGAATAGCGGAGGATCGCAGTTGCCTTGATCACAAAATTCGGCAAGTCTTCTCAGTGCACGGGTGACGATGAATCTGGATGTGGGCAACATTGTTGAAAAAGTTGGCTCTTCATCTCCGTTGGCGAGAAGGTGTCATATCTTCGAGGCTCGGAAGCGTTGGGCATTGTTTGATTGCATAAGAAAGAACGGAAATGAGTTCTGTCCTGACAACCTCGTGCTTGGAACGGAGGCCACCTTCAGCCCGGACAGAAGCTAACACGACCAAAGAGTCGTTGAAACTCGGTCGTATTGACTCTTTTCCATCCTCTCGATGAATCGTCTCATCGAGAATGCCGATTGTTCGGATAGAAAGCTCGTTCTGATCGTGAATGAAATGGAGCATATTATGCAGGATAGGAGTCCATTGAGATACTGTGAAGTGGAGTATAGTTCCTCATTTAGGAGGGTAAACGCGTCCATTCGCCGATCAAAGTCGGGTTCCTCTGGCTGACGCGGGTCGAAAGAATTCATTCGATCACAGATGACAGTTTCTCCATCTGTGGATCCTTGGCCCGAGAGCAGTGAACACTTTAGTGGCCGACGTACAGGCAGCTCGACCTCGTAGGGTTTGCAAAAGCTGCGAGACATGCTGAACGTGGCGGTGGTCAAAGTGGTCGTCTCTGTTCTCCATAGGTAGCAATAATACAAGCCGTGCGACCACTTGCAATAGGTCCACCTTTGCACTCTCGTTGACCTTGCTAGAAGGTTTTGCGAAGAAGGGTAGGAGGAGTTCAGCAAGCCTATCGCTTGAGAGACATCTCGCACATGATCGGAGATCATGCGCAGAACAGATATTTGCCATGCGAGACGTTGGATGTGACCGCACCCGTCTTTGCACTCTGTATCGCATGACGGTGAGGTTGTCGATGAGGATGGATGTATGCGGCTGCACAAGGGCTTCCACGATAAGCTGCTCTTGGTGGTGGCATGTGCGAAGATGTTCTCGGCAATATCAAATACACGCATGATGACCACTGGCTTGACATTTGGCGTGATGAGGCAGCCATAGATCTTGGGCAAGACTCGTGAGTCGTAGTCCGCTAAAAATGCAGCATATGACGGGTGAGTGCTCCACACATGGAACAGTTCCATGAGCGAGGAGGGTGATTGAGAGTTCTCTTGTTCGAAAGCCGGTAGACGGCAGGAAATAAACGCGGAAAAGGCAGTCGGTAGGAACGGGCGAAAGTCGTATTCGATAGGAAGGCGGAATGGATCTGTGAAGCGCTTGATCCCCAGTTGTCGAAGATTTCGAGCGACCTTGAGAGGAAGTTGTCCAGGAACATCTTCTAGTATATTCTCGTCCTCATTGTCTCCGTCTTTTCGTCCTGGTCTTCGATGACTTGTCGATTCTCTTCTAGAACTTTTGTGCGTTTGCAACAATCATCGTGACTGCGTGGAGAAGACCCGAGATGTACGCAGTAAGCTTGACGCCGAGGATTCGATCAACCTCTGCGAGCAGAACTAGGAACCCAACTTGCTGCTTGCTAGTCATCGAAGCTGGGAGGGGTCGAACTTGCAACCCTCCATCAATAGCCATGGAATCTGCCATTTCAAATGGCTCCAGCATAAGATGGACAAGCGTCCCGAGCTCCGAGTCGTGACATTGTCGCAAGGAATTGATGAGAGCTGTCCGTCGTTCCTGCAACTTGTTCCGTCCTCGTCGTTCACGCATCATTCCGTAGAACAGTCGAATCAGAAATTCGACAAATTCTTCTCTTTCAGACGGCTGCACTGTCGATCCCAGATCAAGTCCAGTAAGGTGTTTCTTCCATTGACTATCCTCGAGCAGGCCCGGATAGTATCTTATGTAGTAAGCGCCTTGCTCTTGTATGAAAGCATAAATCGACAGCAAGGGGTTTGGAGATGGCGATGATCGATGGAGAGCAAGGAGATATACGTCGCGCGAAGTTCGTCCGCTGAGACGACCGCCCCCAGATTGTTGAACTTGGATAGAAGAGATAACCATGATGCGAGATTGTGTCCTGATGCTTTCTTGGCGCCACTTGGAGAGACGAACGAAAGGAACAGTGGGATGAGTTCGCGGTTATGTCGTTCCGCAAGCGATGAGCATCCTTCGAGGGTCTTGAGAAGTTGCTTCTCGTAGTTCTCCACGTCGATTCTCTGAGATGACCTGAGCCTATCCAAGGATTAGGAAGGAAGCATTAGTATTTGCGCGACTCGCCTTCACAAGAGTCATCACTTCGTCCTCTTGAATTGCGCCTTTCATCGCCTCTAGAGTTTCTTGTAGCCCAGGATTGCGCCACGTCTTCTCTTCTTCTTGCACTTCCCGATCGTCCTCGTCCTCTACAATCCATGTGGGACGATCCTGGAGCAGAGCCCCTGCAAAGATCGCCAGGATCTCTGGCCCCATGATATCCCATAACTCTTCGCTCGACCGATTCGCTACATCGATCAAGGCCTGCGAAGTCGCTTTCCACACTGGCATGAGGTTGACCTTGAACTGACCTAAATCGGCATAAGTATTTGCACAAGTAAAATGAACTCGACGTACCAACGAGCCAACGGATGCAAAGTTCTGCGGCGCCGGCAGACTGTCCGACCGGGGCTGCATTGCCCACTTTCCCCGTCTTCAGTACTCGTTCAGGGGCCCGTGTTGCAGAGATTTCAACCTCTTCGGCTTGAAGACATGCGGTCACTGCAAGGTCTTGCGACGAGTCTCGCACAACAAGGTCAGAAGCAAGAATGCGCAGGGCATTGTATCGCAACGCCCCAACGTGAGACATGACAGAAGCTTTGAGCATTTCGAAGGCATCCACAAAATTGATTGGGTTTGCACTGCGTGCTTCTGATCAGTTTCATAGGTGATGCGGGGAGGCGGAACTCACGCGTGCTTTGCTAAGCTGGCTACTCCTTCAAGTACCGGCGAGCTCCAGCTATAGTGTGTCAATGCATGCTGTAGCCATACGTCGACCTTGGAATCAGGGGGTAACTCGTCCATCTCGCCCAAGACGAGCAGGCAGGATCCAAAGAACCACGAGGCGTTGGCAGCCGTTTCCATATAGTTTTGAATTGGATTCACATCCAAAGAAACAATGTTGTCGACAATGGATGCGATGGAGGGTGCAAGAGATGGCAGCTGTGGGACGAGGGCGAGAATGTGGTGAAGCTGAATAGAGGATTTATCGTTGAGCTTCCATTCGTCCAGCAATTTCGCGCAAGATTTCTGGATCGCTTTCTTCCAAGTCGCATCTTCGAGCACTATTCGCTTACTCTCTACCAGCATGCGCAAGAGTCTCAAGGTAGCGGCTGAATGTGAGGCGATGTGCGCAACAGTAACCCTAAGGAATGTCAGAGATTACTTCAATTTCCAAAATTCGCCTACTTTTGGACCTGTGGTAGGATGAACGATCTCCAATTCGCACCCTTAGACTGGTCAAGAGCCGAGAGTGCCTCTGCTACCCAGTAACCGGCCTCTACATCCTACCACGTAGCTTAGCTGTGCAATGTGGATGATACAGTGCGACTTACCTTCCAGATATGCTCCAGAGCGGAGCGACCTCGTACCCAGAGTGCAAGCTCTCCGCCTTTCAAACATGCTACGATCATGGCAGCAACATCTCTTTTCAAAGATAAGGTAAGCGGGAATGAAGACAGCTTGGAGAGCACAGATGCAAGTTGATCGGCTGTAGGCCTGGTGAGTGGCCATAAGGGTAGGAGGAGAATCCGTACTGTTTGCCATTGCTTCTGCCTGTTTACTTGCGAAACGCGAATATCACCAATGATATGCGAAGCAACCTCTGTGTTCGCTTTTCGTCAAATGGCTCCGCGAGGGCGTGTATGCGCGAGACAAAGATGTTCGTGATGGGTTGAAAAGACTCGACGGAGCAATAATGCATCGTTGCGGTCAACACCCGTCGCACGAGCTTGTAAATGGGCTCGAAATCGTCTGCAACGAGGGCATTCTCCAATAACAATTCGAGTAGCGGTAAAGCAGCAGTATGCAGTGTCAAAGATGTTGATCGAACGCTTATGATGTATATCCATGCGATAGTATCTGAAAGTGTGTCCAGTGAGCCAACAAGCGCGTCGGTGGCATGGCGCTTTTGTTCCGACTTGAATTTGCGCAGTGTGGTACCCCAGACTTCTGCTAGTAGTCTTCGTATGTCAGGAC